GACATGTTTTACTCCCTGACTCTTTCGAATACCCCCATGACTGGTTCTTCGATTGGCTCTGAACTTCTCCCTTCGATGACTCTAAAAATACCCAACTAGCCCAATTGAACACTTCACTCTGGCCAGTCGAAGCTTCTTTTGTTTCTTCCTTTAAATGTAATTGTGCAGGAGGCTTGGGCTTGGCAACATGCAAGACTTTGGCCAGCAAGCATCTTGAACCAAGACTCATCAAAAGACAAAACAAAAATTGTCTTCAACCATTGTGTGTCTTTCGATTATACCAAATGTACACCCTTCGAGGGTACCACTTGTGTGTCCTTCGAATAGCCCACATGCACCCCTTGTGCATTCTTCGAATGGGCCACCAATGTGTTTATAATGTAGCAATCATGTGCTTGTGAAACAAAGGCAGGCATGAAGAGGAAGCCTTTGCTTTGTGAATCGAAGGCCAGTTGAAGGGGCCTTTTCTTTGTGGATCGAAGGCAAGTTGAAGAGGCTTTTGCCTTGTGGATCAAAGACAAGTTGAAAGGGAATTTTGCATTGTGGGTCGAAGGCAAGTTAAAAAGGCCTTTTTCCTTGTGGATCGAAAACAAGTTGAAGGGGCCTTTTGCCTTGTGGATCGAAGGCAAGTTAAATGGGCCTTTGCTTAAATGAAGCTTGCATGCAGGAGGCCACTGCTTTGCGAATCAAAACAAGTATGTCGGAGGCTACTGCGGGTATGAAACTTATGGACCAAAGCTTGCTCGAAGGGACTCAATGCCCAATTGAAGCTGGTGGACCAAAGCTTGATCGAAGGGGACCCAACGCCCAGTAGAAGCTGGTGGACCAAAGCTCGCTTGAAGGATTTTAGATGCCCAATCGAAGTACCTTGTTAAGATGCCAATCGAAAGACACTTGACCATATTCAAATTTTTTATTTTCTTTAAGCAAGTGTTTGTAACCACCCATGTAAGAGAAGATCTTGGAAAACATGAGAGGGAAAATTTTGGGGTACAACACCCTACATTTGAATTTTATTGGTACTCCTTTTGGAGATATAATCAGAACTCCGACACCAGTTCCATTTTTATGGCTCGACCCGTCGAAATATAATTTCCAAGGGTCAGTGTCAACTAGATTCACTGACGATTCTACTATTGCATGATCGACTATAAAGTCTGCTACAATTTGGAATTCATGGCCTTCAAAGGCATATAAAATAATGAAAACTCAGTTAAGGCTAGTGCCCATTTGTCAATTCGACTATGCAAAATTGGTTTGGACAATATATGTTTCATGACATCACAATGGGACGAAACATAAACATCCACTGGTTTAATATATTGCTTAAGTTTAATACATGAGAAATACAAACATAGGCATAACTTTTCTATCATGCTATACCCAATCTATGCATCTATCAACACTCAACTAAGGTAATATATGAGTCTTTCGACTCCATTATCATCCTCTTGAGCTAACATGCTCACTACCGTTAAATTAGATGCAGCTATGTATAATCTCATGTTCTTATTTCGACTAGGCGACAATAACACATGAGGCCTTGTCAAGTATTCTTTTATTGCGTTAAAGGCCTCTTGTTGTTCCTTTCCCTAATGAAAGTGACTTCCTTCTTGATCTTTTGTAATGGCGAAAAAACCTTCGTTTTGCCACTTATATTTGAGATAAATCTTCTCAAGAAGTTGATTTTTCCCAACAAAGATTGCAACTGTTTCTTTGTCGAAGGAGGCTTGAGATCCAAAATTTCCTTTGTTTTTCTTTGTTTGATCTCGATGCCTTTTTTGTGTACTATAAAACCTAAAAAATCTCTTGCATGTACACAGAAAGCACATTTTAGTGGATTCATTTTCAATCTATATTTCCTTATTCTTTCAAAGGATCTTCGAAGATGGTCTAGATAACCATTCTCAGATGAAGATTTTATCACAATTTAATCAATATATATTTGCATGAAATATTCTATAAAGTCATGAAACATGGCATTCATTGCCCTTTGATAGGTGGTTCCGACATTCTTTAGAGATATGATTTTAGATTTGTTTTCCTCACGTATTCTTTCTTTTCTAACATTAAGTTGACTACATCAATAATATTTTTGTTTCCATAAAACTGCACAAAAAAGAAATTTATTGGTAAGATCCAAGGATTCTTCTTATATACACTTAATTTTGAAAAGAACTCAAATCTTGGAGTCAATAATTTTTTATTCTTTATGAAATTCTTTTTTCTTTTTTCCATCCAACTTAGATACTTTCTATTCATATTTTTTTTCCATTATTTCCATATACATATCTATAATACCATCTTCTATTATATAATTTTGGATAAAGTTATCGTTCATTATATCAAATAATTCTTTTTTATTTTTAGGTGTGTTGTAATTAATCGTTTGGTTTTTGTTTGCTTGCAATGGTGATATATATATATATATATATATATATATATATATATATATATATATATATATATATATATATATATATATATGATTTATATATTGATAGGAGTAAGTCAATTTTTTTTTTTTGTAAAAAAAAATTAATTGGTTTTATTCTAGATGAATCATATTCAACTAAAAATCTTTATTTTGAGCCACACGATGTTCATGGATTCTATTCCTCCACTTTTATGCTACTAATCATGACCATCCGCTCTGAGGTAAAACATATTGATAATGAACCTTTAATCAATTTGTCCATTGATTCATTATAGAATCGGGAATGTTCTTATGTCTTAATTTGGAATTTAATCTTCCTCTTTGTATTGTAAAAAGTTATCTTTTATTTCATTCTTAAGAAAGAAAAAAAATCTTTCATGAGATTCAAAAATAGATCTTAACTTATATTTATATAGATTACTAACTTGTGATAATTTAAAAAATACATAGACTTGTGACAAAGAAGATACATCACAAAAAAATTGTGAATTCATATCTATAATCGACATAAATAAAATTATACTTTCATTTGTTTTATGAACACGTTGTTCATTTTTTTTTATTGTAAATGTAAATAAATACATTTATAATTTTGTCTGTTAATTAAATAATATTAAGAAAACGTTGTCCATACATCATAATAATATGACTCATAGAGAAAATGATCTCTATGTATATCATTTCCATTAAAATTTTAAAAAAAATAGGATTTACAAATTAATCTAACGGTTCCTCTTTTTAATATTTGTAAACTATTTTTTTAGTAATTCTAATCTTTAAGCATCATGAGTAGTTTTGGTCGAATTCAAATTGATCTCTAAAGTTATAACTCCCTCTTTTTTTTTCTCTTGTCATTTTTTCTAATTGTTTTAAGATTGTCTTTATTTTAACATTAAGTTCTTTTTCTGTTAAATTTGTCCAGTTCATAGATTGAATTATAACAGACAATTCCTGAATTATAACAGACAATTCCTCGATCATTGAATTACTCTTATTGATTATTGAATTTTTTTGCTTTCACTCAATTCATCTCTTTTTTTTAAAATCTAAATAGAATATTTTTTATGTTCCAGTTTTTTATTTCTTCTAACACAATTCGAAACCCTTTTTTTCTTTCATTAAAAACTATTAAAACTATTAAAAATTTGATTTTTCAAATCTTTTTCCAATTATTATTATTTTTTTAAATTGGACCCAAAAATAAAAATGGATTTGGGATATGATCATCAAGGTACGATTCAACTTGTATAACCGGTTAAAATTCAGAAGTTTTTCTGTGGATTTTTTTAAATAGTTTTTTTAGTAGATCATATCTTATTGTGTCAAGAGTTCCGAACAAAAAGGATAAGATCCTTATTTGAATACCCTCCTAGATTCAGTTTGTTGGCAATGCGTTGTGAGATACTAAAATGCCCTGATAGGTGCATTTAATATGGAGGGGGAGGGTGTTTGGTTCAAATTTTATGTTTGGTTTTAAAATCTCTTCCCTCTCCTCTCCTCTCCTCCCCCTCCCCTCTTTTGAATCAAACATATCTAGAATAAAAAAAAATCCCTCCCCTCCTCTTCTCTCTATTAAATTCTCTTTCCTCCTTTCCCCTCCTCTTCCCTCTATTCAGGATTTTAAAATAATAATATACAAATGATATTTTTTGTAATTATCTATGAAGGTAATAAAATATATTTTCTAAATATTTATTGGAATAGTAATGCGAAACTTCCCATTATTAGACTATAGAGAATGTTGTCTCAAGCTTCTTCGATTTGTCTAAGTCTTATTTCAACTTCGTCTCTGTTTTCCGCTTTCTCTCTTTGTTCTATCGCTTTCTCAAATGTCAAAAATTCTGAATTATTAGTATTTGATTTTCTGAAATATTTTTTTTTACATATTGAGAAATATCATAGAGAAAATCACCGAATAAAGAAAGATTTTATTAGATGTTGCATTCTATTTCTTTAAATTCCGATAGATTTTTAATATTCATGACATGTATTATAAATATACTTGATAATTGTGCCATTGTGAGGTTTTTTGTAAAAAAAATCATAAGAATATTTCTTTAAATGACCTTATTACGTATCATCTCATGAACAAATTTTTTAACTCCACAATTTACACAGACATTCATGTTTTTTGGACTATGCGTTAATGTTTCAGCTGTTTTTTATTTTCTTTATATGTGTCACCTTTTTTGCACTACAATATAAGAATTTCTGAATTCTGGTAGACTTTATATATTTATGACATATATTATAAATATATTTAATAATAGTTTTTCTTTTTATAAAAATCATAAGAATATTTTTTTAAAGAACCCTATTACATGTTTTCTCATGAACAAGTTTATGCATCAATGACATGAACATATAAGGAAAGGCCGTGAAGAAGGATTTAGAGTCACGTTTAGAAAAAAATTGTGTAAATGATATAAATGTGTTTCGAAATAAAGATTGTGTGAAGCCCACATCTTATTACTATTAGTCAGCATAAAAATATTATAAAAAAAATGTAATGAAACGTCACAACCAACCCAAATAAAGAGAAAGTCCTTGTTTTAATGCTTTAATGCATTCTGCCTCTCTCTTTATCTTCTCCTTGTTTCTCTCAGCAATTACTGCTAAAAAAAATAAAAAACGAAACGTCACCACCACCAACGAAACCAATCACCGAACTGCACCACCGTTACAAAATGCCGCAACCGCTAACTTAACGCCGCCGCAAAATTCTTCACCACAAGCTTACGAAACTCCGACGACGTTGACGGATACGGAGATGGAGATACAGAAAAACGAAAGTAACACTGCATTGAGTCGTCGAATCGTCGTTCGCGTTGCCATTTCTCTCTTGTGTGGTATATTCTTTTTCTTTTCATTATTTCTTCAACCACTGTTCTTTTTCTTTTTATTAATTGCAAGTTTGCAACAAGAAAATGAAGCTTTTAATTTTTATAAATTAGAATGATTGAATGAATAGCAAAGAGGTTTGCTTAAAGAAGAATGATTTGAAAAGTTTTTAATTTTTAATCTGTGTGTTGTCGTTGATGGTTTTGGTATTTAGAAATTAGAATATAAAAGTAAATTGAAAAGTGAAAAAGATAAAGATTAAATATTAAATAATATTTTAAACTTTTTATGTTTTATTTGCCTAATATATAATTTTATTTTTTGTATATTATTTTAATTATTAAAATAATATATTCTTTTTTAAACTTAAGCTCATTTTTTAATTGTTTGGATCGGTCCTGCATAAGAGGGGGGAGAAAATCCTTCACATGTTTGTTTGTATAAATTACATATGTTTGCATATGTCCAGTCGTGCATCTATGTAGAGTTAGTCAATAATGGGTCTCTCATTTATACAGAAGTTGTTATTAACAGACATACAATATGCAATATGCAACATACAAACATCAAATATCATACATACATCACAAAAGTAGCCAATCACACATGATATTCAAAATTAACAGACCAAGAATCACAAGTCTACTTGATTTTCTCATTAGCCAAGAACAGATTCCATCTCTTCATAGTTAACAAACCAATAATGTCTTTGTAATGATACAAATCTAAGCATAGGATCACACACAAAACACTACCACAAGCTAGTAACAACTCAAATCACTATGATCGGTTTCCTAGCTCGCATCCAATAATATTGCAGTTCACAAATGAGACACTTAGAATTGGCTTCCTCTCTCAAGAAGAGTTTGTGTGTCATAATATTTACCCCGGGCTCTCTTCTTCCATATGAGAGACACTTCTTCAAAAGTCAATCCTTTTGTCTCTGGTACAAAGAAGAGCACAAAGAAAAAAGCAACCACGCATATAACGCCAAGAATCATGAAGCTGCCACCAAGGCCAACGGAATCAGAAACTGAAAGAAAACTTTCAGACATTATCACACTGCAAATCCAGTTAACAGTTGCTGACATTCCCCCGCATACACCTCGGAACTCTTCAGGGTAGATTTCTGAGTTCACAGTCCATGGCACCAATCCCATTCCTGGAGTGAAAAAGAGAATATACATTGCTAACCCGATAATTGCTATCCACCCATAGATCCTATTTGAAGAGTCAGATGAATGAAGGTAAGATCCTGTAGAAAGGATTGCCAGCCCCATAGTTGCACCTGACAAGCTTGAGAGAGCCAACTTCCTTCGCCCGACATGATCAATTAGAGAAATGCCAATAACTGTTCCAGTAGCATTCACACCAGCAACTATGAGAGATAAAAGAATAGCTAACTGATTGGAATTAAACCCGGCCATTTGAATGATTGTGGCGGTGTAGTTCATGACTATGCCAATACCGGTGAACTGCAGAAAAGCCTACATAATAATGAAAATATGGGAGAAGTTGCATAGCATGAGATCCAAGCACACTTATTTGAAAGTGGAATACAGAAACAGAAATTTTAGCCTTAGGCTCAATAACCTGAAGTCCGCCCCCGACAAAAAAAGCAATTCTGATTTCCTTTGATCGGAAAACATCCATGTATCTAATGTTCTTCCGTTTATATATTTCTTGCTCTGAAACATCTGTGAGGTAATTGACTTCATCTTCTAGACGTTCATAAGTATAGATATTGAAAAGCACAGAAATAGCTTCTTCTTTCCTATTCTATACATAAAAGATAGCTTTTAGCATGAGGAGAGCTTTCAAGGAATGAAAAGTCAATATCCCAAACATAATGCATACAAATATATAGAACCTTTTCACCTTCAGGAAAAGCCACCTTGGAGATTCAGGCAGGAAAAGCATGACTGAAAACTGAATAATAGCTGGCAAACCAGCAACTCCCAGCATCCATCGCCATGTTCCAGTAACCTGTTTTATTAAAATTTTATTAGGCGATATCTCAAATAATATGATTGACTGACTGACAAAAATGGTTTATGCAACAAATGTAATGCATGAGGAGAAGATATAGAGAGCAAAGAAAGAGAGGGCTGACCTGGGAAAAGGCAAGATTTATGAGGTAAGAAAGAAACTGTCCGCCAGTTATCATGAGTACATATGTGCTTACTAATGAACCCCTTATTTCTGATGGTGACGATTCCGCAATATATACAGGAGCAGTCACTGATGTTATGCCCACGCCAACGCCAACAAGAAGACGGCCAAATATCAGAACATATGCATCTGGTGCGGCAGCCATCACAACTGATCCAAGACCAAAGACAACATCAGCACTAAGTATGGCCTTCTTACGTCCAAAAACATCGTTAACCCAGCCACCTGTTGCTGCTCCAATAATTGCACCAGCCAATGCCATGCTTACAATAGTTTCCTGGCAACATAAACATGTAAAACATTAATCTTGATTCCAAAAAAAGAAACATGTATGCTAAATAAGAATTACAAGCAGCAAGTGATACACAATAGATGCATCTCCCTATAAATTCGAAGTCAACAACAGTCAATAACGCGTAATAGCTTATACCTGAAGGAAGCTACTTTTGCGGACATCATCAAAATCATCTTTAATATACAGAAGGGCCCCTGATATAACACCTGCAGGCAGCAAACAATTGTCCCATGCACAGTCAAACCTTAGAGGCTAACTTCTGTTATCATTCTGGCTAAATTTGATCTTGAGTTTAGGACTCAGACTATATAATGGATTATTTCGAGGAAAACATCCATGATAAAAAAGATCAGTTGTCTCAATCAGTATTGAGTAATAAACTAATAATCAGTTCAATATTCAGAGTTCATGTTTGTCTCTGCATCAATTGCTTCATAGTAAATTTGAGGATTAGGAGAAAGAAGAGGCTTAGATAGATACCTGTGTCGTAGCCGAAGAGGAGTCCACCGATGCCAGCGGCAGCAGTTACTCCGAGAGTGTAGGGATTCTTGAAATACGTCATTTTTCTTTCCGGATACAATTCCAAGTAACCGGAGCTTCCCGGTGTCGCCTGCGGCATCATCTTAGCTCTTCGATCGCGTTGCTTGAACCAAAAAGAAATGGAGAAGAACTGTTTTTTTCCTTCTCTGTTCTCTTTCTTTCTTTAGGTGATTGATACACAGAGCTGTTTTGCATTACTAGTTTGTCACGTAATAACTATAAGCAGGGGGCACCTATCTTTGGGACTATGTAGCGCAATGCACCCACTTTAATTTAAATACACATTTCTAATATGCTATAAAGTGCCATGATACTATAATAGATATTGGTTTTATTTAGTCTGGGATTTAAATTCTCTTGTAAAACAGTCCATTTCACAATTATAAATCTACAGTAACGGACTGAATGTTTTTATCTTTCTTTTATCAAAGTGTATTGGTAGAGTATAATAAATTAATGACATACGAACTACTAATATATTTGTTGAGACAAAATAATATGTATAGTTTAATTAACAAATAAAAAATTATTAATATTTTTTAAATATTAAATATTATAAAAAATAAGTATGATATTTATTTATAAAATTTTCTTGAACCCGTCCATGACTTTAAGATATACACTAGTTAATTTATGACTGATTTATTAAACTCTTTTCGGCCAATCAGAATAACCTTCGGCCGACCACTCAAAGAAAGATATAATTGGTATGAATTATTCGCGGCGCGTGGAAATTACTGTAAGAGTACAGGCGATTAGGTACAAGATTTATCCAATGATTTTCTGCATTACACGCTAACAAATAACGAATTGTTATGTTTTACTATATAAAAGATACGTACGAAAGAATCAGTTACACAACTTTAAATTTAAATTTCATTCACTATTTTCTTTTACATGTAAAATTAAACTTGAAATATTAACTTTGTAGATCAGTTTCACTTCTCAAACTCACCTTTGTCCCTCCTCTAATTAATTTTGGTTTCATAACATAACATAAAGTAATGTTATTTTAACAACTGACGTGAGACTATAAATTTTTCTTCAAAAAATATCTTCAACAACCAACGTAAAACTATAAATTTTTTGTCTCAATAGGACTAAGAATATCTTTAACAATGGATGTGAGACAAAGATTTTCATATCAATCACTTATAATATCCAATATTATTGGATAATCACTTCCCCAAATTTCCACAATATTAACACTGATTTAATGTTCATCATAGACTTTCTGTAACCTTAACATAGACGAACAAATTCTAGTGGCTGTTAACTTTAGTCTAATTATAAAACTATTATCATGTCTCTTTCAATTGGAAAGTACTAACAAATGATGTGTTAACATCAACTACTATTGTGATTGCAACTCTGAATTAAATGAGGTTATTTCACCAATGGGAACACTATACGCTCAACCATCAACTTCAATTATTCATATTAGGAATACCTTTTTAATTTATTGTGCTTAGATTCAGCTAGTGCATGATATAATTTATCCAAACTCTTACTATTTTTGCTTTTTCGAGATTCATTAGTGTTTTCTATCAGTGCGTGAAGTATTTTTAGTGAGGGAAGAAAGAAAATAAAAAAATAAGGATTGTATTATTGAATTGAATTGAATTGTTACAAATAATAATAGATACTAGTCTATTTATATTCAATTAACTTGTATACTAAGTAGGCTAACAAACTCTAATTGAGTTTGAGTTTGGATTACACAATTTGGATTATATCTAATATTATATTTAATAATTCAACATACTTCATAATCTAAGTTGTCGAACTTACGCTAGTTATAGTCAATTTGAATTATTCCTAATTTCTTTCTCAAATTCAGGAATCTATCGATCTTCAATCCTTTGGGGAAAATGTCGGCCAACTGTGCTTCATTTGAGCAATGTCTAACTTCAAGTTCACTTCGATTTACCTTTTTCCTCAAGAAGTGAAATATAACTTCGATATGCTTACTTCTTCCATGCAAAACTGGATTCTTCGCCAGATTTATGGCTGAGTTGTTGTTGACTTGCAACACAAGAGGTTTCTTCAATTTGATCTCCATTTCTTCAAGTATCGATCTGATCCAAATTACTTGACATGCAGCATATGAT